TGTATTTGTTTATGCAGAGTTCAGACTGCATGATTTTCAAAGTAGTCATGTCACATATGTTTTCACACTGCATGACTATCTGGGCCAGCGTTTTGTCGCTGCTTTGTTTACACTGCAAGATGGATCGGCGACAGGGACTTTCACATTGCATGATTTTACTATAGGGAGAATCGCCGACAACTTCGTCCAAACTACGTCTCACAGCCAAAAACACGTAGTATATCTTTTGTTATTAAATACATAATGAGAAAGAAGCCTTTAATTGGGTAGAAAATGTACATGTTTGCTCACCTGGGTTTAAAGGGAATTAGCCATTTCTCCTCAATGTTGATAATAAACTAATTTCTTTCTGTATGAAACGTCAAACAGACACGGTTGCTCCTGAGTCCTGTCAAACCTCCACTAGTTTTTCCTCCATTTCGTGGGTCCAAATAAACCGACAAAGAGCGCTTTTAACTTCTCCCCCAGCCTCTCGCTGGCCTGCAGCAGGTATACACACACACACACACACACAAGTGAAAGCTGCTCTCTCATTGGCTGTAGGCGATGGCTGATGTTATTTTCAGTCAAAACTTAATTTACACGGCATGATTTGAATCGCCGACAGCTCCAGATATTCAGCACGCCAAATATCTCACAGGCATCGGCGACTCCTCGGCGATTCTCTCAGATCTTGTCTTTGAAAGTTCATACTGTGTTATTGTCACTCACGTGCACGGGCAGCGATTTGCCTGTGATTTCAGGCATTTGTCTGCGATTTCTCAAAACCTGTTGGCGAGCCAAAATCGGGGGTAAAATCACACAGTCTGAACTAGGCATTAGTAGTGTTGCTTTGGGTATCACCACTGAAAACAAGCAGGATCATTGTGGATATGTACCCCTGTCTATATTTCTGGAGAGTGCAAATTATGTAGCCAGAGGTATGTCTCGTTTTAAGCATGGTGTTGTACAAACTCTTTTTAAAAAAGCCCAATTTGGATTCATCTGATTTAAAGAACTACTGACCAAGTTCAAAATGGTCTTTTCAGTCCAAAATATTTGAGAGAGTTGTCTTTCAACAGCTTTCTACTCGTCAGAGATGGCAAAAGTACACACATTCTTTGCTTAAGTAGAAGCACAGATACTCGTGTTTAAAACAACTCTGGAAAAAAAGTACTGACTACACTTTTGTATTTGAGTAAAAGTAAAGAAGTATGGCGTGAAAAATGTACAAAAGTAAAAAAGTAAAAAGTACCTGTTTCTACCACAGTCCAAAGACATGCGGTTTAGGTGAATAATAGGCAACTAAATTGGCAGTAGTGTACTTACATTTCCAATTTTTATGTAAAATGTGTGTTGCCGATTTGATGAAAGTAGCCAAGCAGCATCACACCCTGTAATATTGCCTAAGAACATTGCTTAAAAAGGCAACCCATATATCATCATCCTGACGCAAACTCACAGTGTTCATCATGTAGTTTTATAGACAACATTATAGACCTATACAGTTGGTCAGAATTATTAGCCCCCCAGAATTATTAGATATCCTTTTTATTTTTTCCCCAATTTCTGTTTAATTGAGAGAATATTTCTTCAACATATTTCTAAACATTATAATTGTAATAACTCATCTCTAATAACTGATTTATTTTATCTTTGCCATGATGACAGTAAATAATATTTGACTAGATATTTTTCAAGACACTTCTATACAGCTTAAAGTGACATTTAAAGGCTTAACTAGGTTAATTAGGTTAACTAGGCAGGTTAGGGTAATTAGGCAAGTTATTTTATAAAGATGGTTTGTTCTGTAGACTATTGAAAAAAAAATTGCCTAAAGGGACTAGTAATTGTGTCCCTAAAACGGTGTTTAAAAAATTAAAAACTGCTTTTATTCTATCGTAGAGAGGTCTGGGAGATGACCAGCTAAAACCAGCTTGACCAGCCTAGCAACAGACGATCAGGCTGGAAATGGCTGGAAACCAGCCTGGAAATGGCCAAAACCCCTCTAAACCCAGCCTGGTCGACCAGCTTAAACCAGCCAACCAGCCTAGGCTGGTTTAAGCTGGATTTTTCAGCAGGGGGAGCAAACAGTTATTAGCATTTATAACTGTGTAGTGTGCTTCTGCATGTTTGACGACACCTAGGTTGTATATTAAAGCTTATAAAGCTGTAAATAATGTTAATTTCATACACAGACCATTTTTTTTACTTTAAACGATATCAATGTGTGTCGCACGAAGCAATGGCTAAAGTTATATGGACTTTGTTTGTATGTTTATTTTAGCCGTGTAGCCTTTGACTGACATTATGAATCGCCAGAGATCCAGCAAAACAATCTTCACTAACGTTATACTGAAGAAAAAATGTCACCTACATCATGTATGACACGAAGGTGAGTAAATGAACAGGAATTATTACACTTTTGAGTGAACTACCTCTTTAAGGCTGATGGTCATAAAGCAAATCACGATAATGAGGTGTTGTTTGTGTCGATCGATGGATTCATAAAATGGCGAACTTAGTTTACACATATTTAAAACGCAACGTGTTTTCATTAATGTTCTCATACCTCTATAAAAAGACCTTTTCAGGGAACAGGATGTTATTTCTGGTCGCACACACACACTGGCTTTTGAACATCACACCTCAATGTAAAATACATGAGCAGCTGATGTGATCGCTGCTCTATATGATGTTCTCCATGCATTTTTAATCCCGCAGGCCCCCTGCTGGAGACATTTGGAAAGCTCCTGCACCCTTCCCCCATCAACACTCTCAGGGAAAATCCATCCTCACAAAGGAGGGGGGGTCTTCTACAGCAGCTGGAATAATTCGCTGCACATCTGACTGCATTATATATAGTGTGAACACACACACACACACACACACACACACACACACACACGCGCACACACGCACACACACGCGCGCGATGGCTTAAATGAAAAAAATGATAAGTAGCATTAATTCGCTTTAATATTAACTAAGGTTTTGAATGTTCTTGAATATGACATATCTTACAACATGCATTATGTAGACCACTTTGATATTAACTTTAAGGGTTTTATGTAATTAATTACAAATAATTGTCTTACAACATATTAATTCAGATAAATATGTTATACATGTCAGGGTTCATGATTATATAGACTATTTTAAAAGAGGTAAACAATAATGGTCGTGAGTGTAGGCCTCCCATTTTCTGTTTCTGTGAGTCCAAAAAATGTCCACATATTGAGAATAAACCCTGAAAAAGCAGCTTAAACCACCCTAGGCTTGTTGGCTCGACTTTTCACATTTCTTAAATACACTTTAATGTTTAAGATATGAGGACATTGAAATACACATTTCTTAAAATGTTCCTGCTGCTTTTAGTACAGTCTGTTCCCTTGCTTTCTTTGGCGATGTTTACATGGTTGTTGCTAGGGTTTGCTGCCATCTGCTGGACAACACCAAATATAAATATATATATATATTAATCAAACAAATTCCTAAATCACTCTTACTGCTGACACTACTATAAACTGTGAAGCAAGTTTCATTTGGCCACTAATATTACAACTAAAGAATGCATTTTGTTGTAGTATTTATTCTATAAATACCAACGAGACGTCCAGAATGAGCTATACTGCCAGGTGTGTTCACAAATGAGGAATTTGTTTTGGTGACTGAGATTCTACAGTGCCACAGAATTAGAGACAGGACAAAAACAGATCACATATTTAAAAAATAGAAGCTGTGAATGCAAATGTACAAATAGACAAGTGTATGTACAGGTATGTTACTTTATACAGCGTTGTACTTGCAGCTGTTTTGTGCAAATTGGCATGTGAAGTCTGTTGTTAAATAAAAGTGTGTATAAAAAGTATTGATGTTGGTTTCACAATTACTATCATAAGGTGTTCATGAGATGGATTTCCTGAGGCCAGAAGGTAAAGGTTCAAACCCCTGTACTCGGTGTGAGGGGTCCAGAGTGATTTTGGCAGCCCTTTTATATAGCATTTTACAACAATAAACATTTAGAATCATTTCAGTGTTATAATTTCACACAATTGCTTTGAAACATCTGTTAAAAAATAAGATCATATCTGGCATTATATTGATAGTATAATATTAATATAATATAGTTATAAAATTCATTAATTTACCTTCGGCTTAGTCTCTTTATTAATCAGGTGTCGCCACAGTGGAATGAACCGCCAACTATTCCATATGTTTTACACAGCGAATGCCCTTCCAGCTGCAACCCAGCACTGAGAAACATCCACACACACTCATTCACACACACTCATACACTACGGCCAATTTACTTATAAAGCAGTGGTGTCAAACTCAATTCCTGGAGGGCTGCAGCTCAGCACAGTTTAGTTCCAACCATAATTAAACACACCTGATCAAACTAATTGAGTCCTTCAGGCTTGTTTGAAACCTACAGGTAAGTGTGTTGGAGCAGGGTTGCGGCAGGGCTGCGGGCCTCTAGGAATTTGACATCCCTGCTATATAACATGTGTTTGGACTGTGGGGTAAACTCACGCAAACAAAATTCCAACTGACCGAGTTGGGACTCGAACCAACAACCTTCTTGCTGTGAAGCGACAGTGCTAACCACTCAGCCACTGTACTGCAAAAATGTATAATATAATAATTGTAAAACATAAAAATAAAGCATTTATGAATAAAAAATACACTCATACTGACAAAAAGTGACAGCAAAGGCATTTATAATGTTACAAATAATCTATAATTTTATTAAATAAATTAAAATGTAAATGATTAACAATTTAATAAAATATAGTTGCTGTTGTTTTTTCCTATTTTGAATCATTGCTGTTCATTTCTGCTTGATTAATGTTTATACCAAAAAATAAATAAACCATGCTTTTCAGAAAAACCCAAGGAAAAGCTGGAAAGATTTTAACATTGAATTTGCATTAAAAACTGAGGGAATAATGCGGTGTGAATGCACAGATCATGTTAACTTTCTAAAAATAGTCAAATAAATGCATCAACACATGAGAGTATAAGGAAATCACATTTTATTGTAGTTCTCTAAAAATCAACACAACTGTAAACTTCATAATAAGCCCTGATAGTTTTATCTACACGAAACATTCTTCCATATGCATAGTCTCTGATATGAAACTAGGCACTTCACACACAATGGACAAAATGTTAGTTAGTAAAACCTCCTTAAAGGGATAGTACACCCCCAAAAATTAAATGTACTCACCATCAAGTGATGGTAAACCGTTTTGAGTTTCTTTCTTCTGTCAAAAAAACTGAATATATTTTGAAGAAAGCTGAAAACCTGTAACCATCGACATCCATAGTAGGAAAAAACGATTGCTATTGAAGTCAGATTTTCAGCATTCTTCATAAAATTCAATAAAAGAAACTCAAAAAAATGAATTGACAAATAAAGGGTGAGTAAATTGCAGAAATTTCAGTTCTGGGTGAACTGCCTCTGTAAATACTTACATTTTTTTCCATCACTTTGTAATACACGTGTAATACGAGTTGTAATAAACACTAAATAGACTCTCAGATTGATCAAAGACTCCTTAGGATCAAAACATTCAGTCTTTTCTTTTTTCTTGTAATAGAGCGGCCTATTAAAGGAATAGTTCACCAAAAATAATTGCATTCTGTCATCATTCACTCAATCGTTTACTCACCCTTTACTTGTTTTAAACCTTTATGAGTTTCTTTCTTCTGTCAAACACAACAGAAGATATTTTGTAGAATGCTGAAAGCTTGTAATTATTGACTTCGATAGTAGGAAAGAAAACATTCTATGACAGTCAATGGTTACCGGTTTTCAACTTTCTTCAAATTATCTTCTTTAGTGTTCAACAGAACAGAAGGAACCCAAATTTGTTTTAATTCTGTCATCATCACTCACCCTTTATTTGCTCCAAACCTGTTTGAGATTATTTCCTCTGTCAAACACTGAAGAAGATATTTTGAAAAAAGCTAAAACTTCCATAGAATGTTTCTTTTTCCTACAATGAAAGTCAATGGTTACAGGCTTTCAGCATTCTTCAAAATATCTTCTTATGTGTTTGACAGATAAAAGAAACTAAAAAAGTATTGCAAAAAATAATGGGTGAGTTGTAATAAAGTTCTAATCAACACCTAACAAGATCTTTAACACTAAATAGACTCTGAGATTGTCCCAAGACTCCTCAGAATCAAAACAAAGTCTTTTTTTCCTTGTAATGGAGTGGCCTATTAAAGGAATAGTTCACCCAAAATTGAACGATTCTGTCATCATTTACTCACCCTTTACTTGTTCCAAACCTTTATGAGTTTCTTTCTTCTGTCAAAAACAAAAGACAATTTGAAGAAAGCTGAAAACCTGTAACCAATGACGTAATCATTAATGGTTACAGACTGATTCAATAATTTTTGTTTTTCCTACTATTGAAGTCAATGGTTACTGGTTGTCAGCGTTCTTCAAAACATCTTCTTTTGTGTTTGACAGAAAAAAGAAATAATTAAAGTGTGAGTAAATGACAGAATTTTCAGTTTTAGGTGAACTGTCTCTTTAAATAGTTACATTTTCTTCCATCAACTTGTAATACGAGTTGTAATTAAGTTCGAATCAACATATAAGAAGAAAAAAAATAACACTAAGTAAACCTCTCAGATTGTCTCAGAAAGACTCCTCAGGATCAAAACAATCAGTCTTTTCCTTATGATGGAGTGGCCTATTAAAGGGATAGTTCACCCAAATATTTTCTGTCATCATTCACTCAATCATTTACTCACCCTTTACTTGTTTCAAACCTATAAGAGTTTTTTCTCTTCTGTCAAACACACAAGATGATATTTTGAAGAACCACGGACTTCTATAGTATTTGTTTCTAGTACTATGTAAGTCAATGGTTACCGGTTTTCAGCTTTCTTCAAAATATCTTCTTTAGTGTTCCACAGGACACAAGAACCCAAAAATGTTAAGTTCAGTCATCATTCACTCACCCTTCACTTGTTCCAAACCTGTTTGCGTTTCTTTCCGCTGTCAAACACAAAAGAGGATATTTTGAAGAAAGCTGAAAACCTGTAACCATTGACTTCCATAGAATTGTTTATTTTCCTTACAATGGAAGTCAATGGTTAAAGGTTTCCAACATACTAATGTAGTGTTTAACTGAATAAAGAAACTGATAAAGGTCTTGAACAACTTGAGGGAGAGTAAATACTGAGTACATATTTATTTTGGGTGTACTACCCCTTTAAGTGTCCATTAGTAAGTCAGCAGTGTCCATTAGTGTCCTACATGCGGTGGATTCTGTCGTGCTCGATGAATGGTTTGAGGTTTCTGAGGTTTTCCCACCATTTGAAGAGGAAGGTTTCAGCGATGAGGCTGAACCAGGGCGTGATCAGCAGCTCTTTCCTCTTGGCTTTCTCCAGGATCTCCTTCAGCTCTTCTTTGGACACGTAGCAGTGGCTCTGGATCTCGTTGGGGTCTGGATTCAGATCTACGTCTTTCTGCATGAAGATGATGTAGTCGATCTCGTGTTCGCCCCAAACGCCATCTGACTGGGCTTTATAATGGATGCGGGTCAGGTAGGTCATCTCCTCTGGAAGAACCTGGAATAACAAGTAGATTACAGATTATAGAGTTGAAGTCCAAATTATTAGCCCTCCTGTATATTTTTCCTCAATTTCTGCTTGACAAAGAATTTTTAAACACATTTTTTTAACTAAAAAAGTTTAATAACTAATACCTATCTAATACAGTACATAACTAATACAGTACATAACATTTTGCTGGATATTTTTAAAGATACTAGTATTCAGCTTAAAGTGACATTTAAAGACCAGGGTTCCAACACTTTCATGCACTGCAGATTCAAGCACTTCAAGTCCCCTTAAATTTAAATAAATGGTAATTCATACGCTAACTGTACTTAATATTTCACTTAGTCTTAATATTTATGTTAAAAATGTCAGAGTAATTTTCAAATAGTAACCATTTTAAAAGTCATGCTCAAGGTTTTAATACCTTAAAATTTGTTGAATTAAACACTGATAAAATACAAAAGCAGTTTATAAAATATTGATAAAATGTGCATTATTGTACAAATTTAAATGAAATAACTTAGTTTTTTTTGTTCTGTTTTTGACAATTGAGTAAAATTGATTAAAATTAAATCATAAACAAATTTTATTTAAAATTTAATTCAAGCACTTTAAGGACCCAGGTTTGCTTTACAGCACTTTCCACCTTCACTTTTAAGCACTTGTTTGAAATTCAAGCAGTTTTAAGCACTTTGATGACATGTAGGAACCCTGAAAGGCTAAACTAGGTTATTAGATTAACCAGTTATGGTAATTAGGCAAGTCAATGTATAACAGTAGTTTGTTCTGTAGACAATCGTAAAAAATATTGAAAAAGGGGGCTAATAATATTGACCTTAAAATGTTTCTAAAAAAATTAAAAGAGCTTTTTTTCTAGCCGAAATAAAACAAACAAGACTTTTTCCAAAAGAAAAAATATTTTAGGAAATACTGTGAAAAAGTCTTATGATCAATGGGTATATTTGTTGGAATAGCTCAAAATAACATTATATTGGTCAAAAAATATGTATTTTATTCCAAAATGTATTTATTTTTATTTATTTATTGATTGACTGATTTATTTATTTAACTTTCAGGTGATGTATATATTTCAATGTACAAAACAGACCCTCATGATTGGTACTGTGGTCCAACGACACATTAATGAATAATTTATTAACTCCACCTGTTAAAATCTGTTTGAGTGTCTTTTTTCTGTTGAACAAAAGGTGGATAATTAAATGGATTTTAAAGAAGAAAAAAAAAATTCCTACTATGGATGTCAGTGGTGTGTGCGAATCCACTTTTTTTAAGGAAGGGCAAAATAGTTGTTGCACCAGGCACATGGTCTAACAAGATTGTGCTTATAATCTTAATGAGTTATGGGTGTGTTTTGAGCATAATGTGCATTAAACCAATCAGAGTCTCATCTCCCATTCCCTTAAAGAGTTAATTGTGTCATGCCATGGACCCTTTGCTATTAACATGAACATAAACTGAACGCTTCACTAGCGAGAAAACAGTTAAACAGACCATCTGAGAAACGAGCATCTTCCATTCGACCCTGGATTCAGGAAACAGCAGTGTACACACTCCACTGAAGACAACATTACATATATAAACTCGTGTTTTTATTTTGTTAAGCGCAACTATTTGTTTCAAAAGTAATTCTGAACTGAATTTTAATTTTCAGCAAATGTATAAATGAACAATAACATAATAATTATATACAAATACACGGTGATGCATATGTCTCTAAAACACAACAGGTGGACAAATCTAAACATTATATAAACTAATATAAATATGCATATATTAAACGCTACTACTACTATTATTATTAAACAAATATAAGTTGTTCTAAATAAATTGGATACAGCAGAGCCGAATTCCGCCAAAGCTCTCAGAGGTACAGAAGGCAGGAAAGAGGTAGCGGTTTTCCTATTTATGTAGACAATAATATATATATTTTTTACATTTTAATATTCAATTTTTTTCATATTTAAAGATATTTGTGAATTGCTGTACATACATGTGTGTGTAATAATCAATGTGTATATGCGTTTTAGGGCACAAACCACTAGGCGCCAACCACTAATACGTAACCAATAAAAACCCTGCATAAAATACCCAGTTTAGAATAAATGTCACTGTTGACGCTCAGTTTAGTTTGTTTAGGAGGACACTGCTGGTCACTGATCCTCTGAAAAGCAACTATATAATAAATTACTCATTGTTTTCTGTATTAGTACCTGGTCCATGGGAATGCCAAGCTCGGCTTGCAGGCGTCTCTGAGCGGCACGTCGGACGCCGATGGCGTCCTGCTCCTCCAGTTCACTGGTAGTGTGTAAAGGGTGACTACAGCAAGTGTTGGTAAAACAGCCTGCAGAAATACACATAAAGCCCTGACAGTAAGTTTAGTGTGTTCTAAGATAATTGTAAGCACTTTTCAAGCAATTACAGGTGCATTTATAAACATTTCTAGATCTTTAAATGTGTGGAAAATTAAATATGTACATACTTCATCACACTATACCAGATACTATTTGCCAAATATTGGACTGCTGTCATTTACACTCTTAAATTGTCACTTACTTGCATCTTAAATGTGTTAAACGTCTTATTTATGTTAATTGTGGCTATTTTCATGACAACAAAAAAGTATATTACAGATATAAATTGTGTTAAGCTTTTACAATTTATTTAAAAAACTGTAAAACTGTATTTGGATTAATAGTGTTAAAATATCTTCAAAATTATAAATTAAAGTTAAATTAAAATTAAAGTAAAATTAAAGTCGACACAATCTAATAAAACACTGTGGAGAAAAAGGAATTTATTGTTTTTATTTTTGTGTCTTTATTTTTTATTTGAAAAAATGTTTAGACTAACCACAGATCCTCCTTTTTATTTAGTATGAACCGTATATTGACCAAGCATAATTCTTCTTTCTTACTGTTGTGCATACTTTTTAGAAGGAACTGCTGACGAGAGGAAAATAGAAGAACAACAATAGATATAGTGCCGGGGCCCTTGCTCCAGACTGCTGTCCAATAAGAGGTATAGACATGTCACAAGGAGCTGGATGATTGTAGAAGTTGTGAAATATATTGAAGATGCACTTAACTGTTCAGTTTTGGTATGCAGAGTATTGCAAAAAGAGGAAATATGTTTGGGTACAACAGAAAAAAGCCTGATAAGTGATGTTACACCAAAACTCCACCTGTTAATATCAGTTGTGCATATATGCTGGAATATGGAAGTTATATGCGAAACTCCTGAATGTAATTCTTGTATTGCATTGGGGGTAACGTAACCCAGAGCTCTGTACCCAAATTATTAATTTGTATTTAATGAATTACAAATATTTTTGGCATTAAAGAAAACCCTTTCCTGACCTTTTTTTATTGAACACGCATGGAATTGGCTAGATATTCCAACACTACACATAATAATTAAAATACTTTTATAAATATAGGATATTGGAAGATCTTCTCCAAGTATTTAAGAATGTGTGTTAAAAACAATCTGGTCCCACCAGAAGGAGAATTTATAGAAGTTGCACTTACCAAGGACATTTGTAAAATAGATCAGTTGCAATTCATGAGAACATTTGAGACAAATAATAATTAAATACTTCTATAATATATAATTAATGTTAAAATAACAATGACACAGACCTGGAAAAGTGATTTTGGCATCAGATCTTTGCTGAAGGAGCAGCTTTTCCTCACTGTTAAACAGGAAAACACTGAACGCTCGATGCAATAAACCTGTTGGAGAAAGAAAATAATTTTTTTATTGAATTTAATAAATGATTTTTTTTTTAAAGTTGTGACTTTATCCACTCCACAACACAGCAGACAATCTGCTTGAATGTACAGTGCACTTCAATAAAAGGTAAAACATCATGCACAAATTTAACATGCATTACCTTTATCGATGTTTGAGTTGAGATGGCAGTTTTTCTTGCTGTCTGCTCCAATCTTTTTGTCATTCTCATCTATCAGGATGCACATTTCAGCAAGCAACTGCACTTGCTTTTCATCCAGATTATCCATGTTAACCTCCGGCATCCTTACAGGTGAAGTAAACCGTCTGACCTGACTGAAAACACACAGACACACTCAAAAACCATGCTATTATCATAAAACAATGAACGAAACATTTATTACAGTATTTATTAATGTTTGTTATTGTATTGAGGTAAAGTTGGTATTATAATCATACATTCAGACTTTCTCCTTGATAAAATAATTTCTGAAAAGTATTCTTTGCAAATGTTGAATAGTGAAATCATATTAGCCCCAATGATTATCAAAGTACAACATTGTTCACAGTCAAATAAATAGTGTCAATGTTGTTTTCAAATCATTCTTACATGTGATTTTAGACCAAATATTCAAAGTACCATGGTAAACAATATAGACAGCGTGTCACGAGTTGTCATTGAATGAATGAGTGAATATAAAACCAACTTTACCTCAATTGTTATCGTTAGTTAATGAAAATAAAGTTAATTGTTACTTCATGCTAACTCACAGTAACAGATTAGCAAACGTAATGCTAACAGACACACGTCTGGGTTCCATTAGTGAGGAACTTCGATTATTAAATGATGTAGAAGTACAGTTCACTGTTAGTGAATAAATTAACTAATGTAACTTGAATGTAAAGTGTGGTTCAAATACTATTTAAATCACAGTATTTTGCTCAAACAAACGCATAACAAATAGTTTACCGTTACCAGAGAGCTAGTTTACGTTACCACTAAAACAACGCTATTCAAAGGTCACGTTAATTAGGCCCTGTGAGTTCTACACCTTTTAAAGTCCACGGTGTTGTTAACATAAGAGATGGTATGTGTGGTTGTATGGCTCTTACCTGTGTTGTGGAGCAGAAAAAGCCGCAGTCTGAGCTTCTCCAGCGGTATTATTATTGGGTTTATCGGCTCTCCAGAGCAGCGCAGCAGCGGATCTGCGCACCGCCCTTAACAACCGCACCATGAGGGCACAGACAACTGACCAATCACACTGCAGCACAACTAACACGCCATCACACCACAGACACGCGCAAACACACACACCTAAACACCAGCGAGCAATAAACTATCTTTTACACTGCTTAGCTGTGATGTTTGAGATGTGTGTGACGCTCCAGAAAATACACTAATTTATGATGAAGAAACTAAACGCTGCGGGCTCTAACTCCGACGAGCACACTGAAGGTACGACCACGAGATGCAGGCTATGACAAGGATTGTGATTGGTGGATGAGAATAAAGGCGTCTTCGGATTGGTGGATGTTCCTCCAGGATCTTTTCCGGGTTATGTTAATTGCAGGAAAAAGCCGAGGGAAATAAAGCTAAAATAAAAGGAGAATTAATTTATTTGTATATTTTTGCATCTCCAAAACATATTAATTTAGGCCAAACTTAATTCCACTATAGTCATTCACAGACTGCGAAATGCCCGACATATGGAGGACGAAACCTGCAAAACAATAAATGAATAAATGCAAAAATAAATAAATAAAATTAGTTGATAAATTTATAAATTCCTGCATGAGTAAAAAAAGTAATAAATAAGCAAATAAATAAATAAATAAATGAGTAAATAAATCCACAAATTTCTGCATGAATACAAAATCAATTAATACATAAGCAAATAAATAAATAAATGAGTAAATAAATGCACAAATTCCTGCATAACTACAGAAAAAATAGATAAGCAAATAAATAAATACATAGAGGAAATAAATCCATAAATTCCTGCATAAGTAAAAAAAAAAAGAATAATAAATAAGCAAATAAATGAATAAATGAGTAAATTAATCCACAAATTCCTGCATAAATGATAAAAAAGAATACCTAAGCAAATAAATGAATGAATGTATATGAATAGCAGTCAAAAGTCTCCCGCTTATTTTATCAAAATTACAGTAAAAAATGTGAAATTGTGAAATGTTATTGGACTATAAAATGACTGTTTAAAGGAAGTTTAATTTATTTAATCATTTATTCCAGTGATTATTAAATATTAAATATTTAATTATTAACAGTAATAAGAGCAGTAATTAATGAAGTAATATTTTCATTTGAAACTACATACAATAATAAAGCAGTCATTTAAAACAGTAATACATTGTAATAAATATTGTAATAAATTGTAATAATATATATTAATTCATTCATTTTCTTTTCACAACCTTATTCAGTACAAAGTATTACACAGACTTCACTATTCTAAAACAAAGCTTAGTAAATTCTATCCCTCGGTTTTCCCCTCACATGGAAAGTGTAAGGCTGCTGAGGGGATCTTAGCAACATCTTTTTTGGTCAAATTCAGGATTTTTGGTTCGAAATATTTCAGTTCTTTGCTAAAGTTTACGATTTAATTGAATAATTAATTTCATCAATATTTATATATGTATTTATTTATTTATTTTTTAATCATTTATTTTATTTACCATTACAAACCTATAAATTTAAACAAATAAAATGTGTTATTTTGAATAAAAATCTTTGGACATAATATCAAATGTTGTAATTTAATGTGTAACAATTACACTTGAAACACACACACACACACACACACACACACACACACACACACACACACACACACACACACTGATGATAACGATAATGTTAATATTTTCTCTTTATTATTATTTATATTTGATATATTTTATTATTTGTATTATTATATATTTTGCACAATTTGTATATTATTTATCATTATTATTTGATGTTTTAGAAGTAATTAATTTCTATTTCACATCACATTATATTATTATTACACGATATTAAGTTATTTCAGAGAAATCTTTAACGAAGGTGCCAAATCCAGGTAAGTAATTGTTTTCATAATTATTGGGCATTTTGCATTAAATATAAATTATTAAATCATTATATACATATGGAGAAATTTGCGTTTTATGATTTAGATTCTGGTAGGAATATCACTGGGACTTTTATTTTGAAGTTTTACATCCGGTCGTATCTGTTATCATTTCCCCTTGCTTCACAGTCTGCCGATAGTGTCGGGATTGATCAAAAACACATCAAAGTGTGAACATCCCTCTGTGTTTTTGACAGAATCATTCGCGTGTTTCTTTGGATCATGCTGGAGGACTCCAACACACTCCATCCCATCATCAGCGCATGACAGTCGCGCTCAGATCAGCTGAAGCGGTCATAAATGTGAGTATTATTGCAAGCAGACGCGCCAGTGTCTGTCATAATGGAGGATTAGCTGATAATCAGGAGAATTACACTTTATCAGCAGCACAGACACGCATGATTGATAACGCTTGGTATGTTTGACTGTTTTAGTGGTGTTTAGTCGAGCAGGCCAGCTGACCTTGTCTCAGACTGATGTGTGTGAGCGCGCGCGAGTGTGTGTGTGCGCGCGCGTTTTAATGTTTATGATCTCATTTCGCTTGAAACTTACGCAATTATTCAGTTATACACGTGTGTAATGTGTGTAAAGCAACATAAAACATGTTTATATCCAAGTATTTCCTTGTTTCATATTAATAATAGTATATTTTAATCTATTATTTTTCACTTATTAGACTATTGGAGTACAGTTGGGTATATATTCGCACATTTGGACTTAATAATATAATTTAAGAAGCGTCATTAAAATCATATTATCAGATAATGGCTACCAAAATACATTGTTTATAGTTAATTAAATATAACTTATGTTGTTTGACGTACAGTAGCATAATAATGTAGAGAGCATGTCACAAGTAGGCATGGGCTGGTATAAGTTTCTGACGGTATGATAACCTTGGATAAAAATATCACGGTTTCATGGTATCACTGTATTGTGTTTACTGCTTGTCTTAGTAAAAAAAAAAACACATTTTCCTCCATTTAACACAATATATATTACACTTTAGAAAACATTTATAGTATTTTGGTACAGTAAACATGTCAGGCTACATAATTAAATTAAACAATTGACTTCTACTTTCTTAATTAGCGTCAAAAACACTGATTTCCTTACAACACAATAAAATAAAAACACTTGAGAAAAAAAAAAACTCTACATATACCTTAAAAACAGTGTAACAAAACAGTTGTGCGATTTCAATACCTTGACTTTTCCAAACCACAGTAAATTTTGAAACCGGTTATCATCTCATGCCTAGTCATAAGTTGTCACTGTTCAAAAATGAACGAATGTGCAAATATAAAAGCAACCCTTAATCAATAAGCTGCTTCCTTTACTGAGAGCCTTCTTAAAAAGTAAATTAAGTCGTATGTTTTCCTAAAGCATATAGACATCTGAGAAAGCTTTAAAATGAGAAATAATCCTACAACATAGCAAGGAATATAGTGGTATTGCCTTTTTATTTTTGGACAATATACCATGAAATGGTAGGCTCCATTGACATGCGGTGAGGTTAATGGTTGATGAGGCACTGACTTACAAATATATGCACCCAATGTATTTGCCAATATTGCGTTTCAGGTCTCATATCAGCATTCTTTATATACACATAGCAGGTATATACTGCGCCAAGGAAGAATGTAAAATGTATAGCGATTCAATATGCCTTTCAAAAAACACCAAGATGGACGCTACAGCCAATAACAAGGGACACTCAGCACCACGGCGGATGCACGCTCTCTCGCACACACACACCCACTGGTCTTAGCTTTACTTGTAAATGAAGTCTTGAAACTACTTAAGTTATCTTCGGTCACACCGTTCAGCTTGATCGTCAATTATTAATTACTTCATGTTTTAATGGAAAGTCCCATTTTGAGAAATGTTTGAGCTGAAATAGTACATGCTCTATGTTTGCAGTCAGTCACTGAACAAGAATAACCGTGAGCTCACGCCCAACCCCTTCAACGCAGCTACTGCCTGCCTCACCTCATGTCTTTTCAGTGCAGCTGTACATCAGATCCTAACACTAAATATGTGATAGACATACATGAAATACATTCCCTATTATATGGAAAGTGAAGACATAATAAGTATGTCTACAATGTATAAAAAAATCTTAATAAAGCATTACATTTGTAGCGTACACTGAGTGAGCAAAAGCTCAGGCCTGTTTGCAAGGGATTGACTTGAGGCACAGCTCGGTGCTGCCTCACCTCCCTTTAATATGCTGTAATTGAACAGGAAATATGCAAAACGCAGCGCTTTTGAATGTAAAAGTTATTGTAATGTTTTGAATCATACAGAAATTGCATTTATAGCACAGATAAATATAGATTTTATCACTTGTATAGAACTCATGGTGGCTATTTCAATTGTTCTTTGTGACGTATGTATTAAAGTATGACAATCATTACAGGATTTGACATCATCATAATTAACCCTGAAAAAGCCAAAGCAAGGCAAACACTACTAGATTACTGTAGTATAAATACAGCACGACAACATACCAAAGAGAGAGATCGACTTAAAATGTCACTTACCTGTTTAATAATGATTTGATCATCTGTGAGTTTTTCTCCCCTTAGGCCTTATGTGGTCTTTGTCGCCATCTTGTGGCGGAACATCAACAGACCTTGCTCTGCTCAGTATGAAAGGCTGGTGGCCGCCAGCGCGCTGAAGCTCTGAAATGAGAAATATTTAAAATAAGCACTATCCTTATAAATAAACTGCATAACTGCAATCTAAACAACTACATTCTTTGAATGAGTGTGTGTGGATGTTTCTCAGAGATGGGTTGCAGCTGGAAGGGTTGCATAAAACATATGCTGGATAAGTTGGTGGTTCATTCCACTGTGGCGACCCCAGATTAATAAAGGGAATAAGCCAAAAAGAAAATGAATGCATGAACAAAAACATTCTCAGCTAAATAAAAAAAGCCTCAAAAGTACATTATGTTGTCCAACAGCTGCAATATTTAACAAAGTGTAGTGGGTTGTTTAGTCTCTCTTTAGTTCCAGTGTGGGGTGAGTAATAAACAAGGGTAAAGAGGCTGTATGAGTGCTGATATTGCTTTAATATTATATATATTATTATTATTATATTATAGTTATTATAATAATAATAACTATTAGTAGGGCCAGTTTCCCAGAGATGGGTTGCGGCTGGAGAGGCATCCGCTGCGTAAAAACTTGCTGGATAAGTTGGCGGTTCATTCCGCTGTGGCGACCCCGGATTAATAAAGGGACTAAGCCGACAAGGAAATGAATGAATGAATAGTAGGGCCAGACGGAATCTGCGGATGTTTTTTTGCTATTTCTGCTGAGAATTTTGGTAAAAATCTGCAGATTTCCAGCGAAGAATCATAACTAAAACTTTAATATATTAAATAAAATGTATTAAATTACTGAATAAAAACAGAATAAATTCAGATTTACACATTTACTCAAGTAAATAAACAGAATTAATAATGGGCTAAAAATCTGCAGAAATCAGCGGAAAATCTGCAGAATTCTGCGCGCGCAGATTCCGTGTGGGCCTAGTTATCAGCCAATCAGATTCAAGAACTAGACAGAATTGTTAAGTTATAAACAACAATATACACAACACATGGTAGTTTTGATGTTGATCAAGTGATGTTGATGTGTGGATTTACTTCACACTGGAGCCAATAGAGTAGACACATCTAAGGGCTGCTACACACCAAGCCTATTTGACCATAAACAACTAGCACTGGTGAAACCCAACTGGGTTGTCTCTTTGCGTTGACTGGTTCCGTCAGGACCAAAAAAATAAATAAATGAGCATGCGGTTTTGCGTCTGCTGAATGTGTCTTTCTACATCACGATGGGCAGTGTCTGTTTTCTCAGCCAACAAATGGAAACTGAACTTCCAAGTATCGAAACGGCGTTCGGTGCTATTTTCACTGTAATCATCACTCACCACGGAGGGATTTACTCCTGTAAATATGTCTGATAATCTAATAATTCATATCATTCGGAAACAGAGCGTAAAATCAGCCTCATAAACATAGAAGTAGGAAGTTTCCAAAATTGCGTGGAAATTGCGAGGAAAAAACGTGTCTATTAGAAAACTATTTTAAAAAAAAGGTGCCTCTCAACACAAAAAGCTTGTTCAGTGTGATCACAGCCCAAAAAAGCTGCATGTCGTACACATCCTGATGCTGCAAGTTCATCCTTCATGCATGTATCTCATATGATGTGTTCAAACCCACTAACCCCATCTGCTTTAACCCGTTTTGTTTATTTCATGACTACTCTATCCGTCCATCCACCCACTCCTCTCTGTTACTGTATGTTATGTGAACACTGTCCCTCCTCGCCTGCTGCTTTCCCTTCGTCATTGTCATGTTTGTGAACCGATAGATGGTGTTGTTCTGTGTTCAGGCCCTGGGCTTCCTGTTTGAGGTCTTCCTCTTCTTCATCACTTTAAGCAGTCGTCTGAGGATGTGTCTGCTTTGTTTATCATTCACTGCTCTCCATGGCTGGTATTTGTATTTTTGTTTTTGCATGCTTTTTATTAACATCATGTTTTAATATGTAATCATTCTTCATATTTTATGACTTTGTAAACTGCTTCCGCTGATATTAACACTCTGATTAAAGATCTGTGTTATTGTGGATGATGGCCTGCTTGCTTTTATTTGATACCCGGTTTAACCTTTATTTTAACCCTTCACCTAACATGATTGTCTTTAATATCACACTCATTGCTTCATCTTCTTCTTTTAAGCAGAATGCAAATATACAGGTCATATTTCATCCAGAAATAGACAAAAACAGGAAATTATATTAAACTTTTAAAACACTTTTACATATTTATGTTGTTGTGTTATTTACTTGCATTTTCCCACAATAATTAAGCTAATTACATTTTAGTTAATTACTATTTGAAATTAGCATAGGACTAGGTGTGTTAATATGAAAATATCTCATACTTAATGCTTAAATATAAAAAAAAAAAATACAGTAATCAGTTCTTTGTTTCTTCTGTTTTTTTCATGTTTAAGTTCTTGTCTAGTTAATTTAATTGAAAATATTTTGAAGAATAAAATAGTAAAAATAATATATTTTTGTCGTTCTACAATAAGAATTACACTTAAAGGTGCAGTATGCAATTTTGACACCCAGTGGTTGAAGTAGGTATTACATTCCTGGATCAAAACAAACGCAATCACAGATTGCCAGATTGAGAACCAACTGAAGCAAGTCTGATGATCAAGCCTAAAGGCTGATTTAAAGGTGCAGTAGGTGATTGTCTTCAGAAACATTTTTTGTTGTGCTGGTTGAAAGTCTCTTCACATTCCAACAGTATTGATTAAAGTACGTGATCTAAATGTATTTATATGTATTTTTATTTTCTAGGTAAGGCATACAACTAAAAAATGTTCATCCAATTAAATAGAGTCGGGCAGACATCTTTTATAATTCCGATAAGTAGCCCAAACTGTCTGTCAGCAAACGTAGATTTGAACAACTGCGCAACCATTTGTATGCAGCTTCGCCGTTTGTGCATTGCGCGTTCATGAGAGAGATCGAGAGAGAAAGAGAGAGCGTGATCGGTGAAAACATGCTGAATCAAAACTTTTTAAAACCCTGAATCAATATTGGAGTTACACGCTGGAGAAAGGATGACACCTTGGCTAAAGGATTTCTTTTAAACGGGTTACGTTCTGTGTTAAAACTATGCAATGTTGATGTAACGTTTTTTTACAGCATCGATAATGTAGATTTTATTTAGTTTAACAACAAAACACAAGTAAATAGTGCTATTCCACCTAGCCAGCTTTACTGAGGACTTACTGGTTTTATATTCGCATCACATTGGTTCATTTTTGAACAATGATGACCTGTGACGCTCTCCTTATATTGTTTACCATGCTGCTCTAAATATTCAGTCAGAAATAGCATGTCAGTTTGGCTTCGTAATGAGTGTAATTCCTGCACGCCGCCGGACAAGCACTAGTTGCTTTTAACACATGAGAGAGGGTTTTGCTGTCATCTTTAAGGTGCGAGTGCTCGTGTTTCAGGAGGCGTGGCTCTGGACAGCAGGGGAGGGACTGTGATTCAGAGATTTAAGCTAAGCTGTTAGCTGTTGTGGAAGATCACCTACTGCCCCTTTAAATTGTGGTCTAAATATAAGCAGTAGCACTCGACAGAAGGAATATTTTCCATATTAAAAGAAGTCCTAACCAACACCTGAAATGTATATATTAGAAACAGCTTCTATTTCTTGCAGCTGAACAACAGAAAACTGACAATGATCAGCTCAGGTACACCTCATGTGCTTTATTCAATGTTAAATACTAACAATGCGAGTTTTAATGCCATTTTACCTGACATTTATTGCCATACTACTGAAAGCAGCAGCAGATAGCTTTCCTTCAATCGTTTAAAATTGAGCTTTAGATTGAACAAACACACATTATATTTGCCCTGTGCTGTAGGATGGAGCAAACCCTTGCTGTCTGATTGCTCAGTTTCAGGTAGGAAGTGCGTATCGGGACGTCACTGAGGAGTGATGCCTGTTGAAAGTGGAAACAGCGCAGCCGCCCGTCAAGTCAAACAGAAGCGCAAATCGCACAGTCTCTCCATTCGGAGGACCAACAGCACCGAGCAGGACAGGACAGGCATGCAGAGAGACATGCTGGAAGGACAGGTACCTTTCTCTTCTACTCTTAAACCTGTCTGAGCACATTTAGATCCAGTTTTTGGTTGTATAGGCTAGAGGAAACCATTGAGTTATACTTCTGGTGTGCTGTCAAGAATGAGACAAAGCCAGTTCAGTGACATTGTTTTTGATATCTTGTTTGTTTTGTATCAATAAAACACAGAGTCATGACAGCTGGGATATGATATGTGTGTTTACATAGTCAACGTGTTATGGTACCTATTGTTTCATAATAGCTCTTTTTTTTCATAGTTTTTTTTTTTTTTCATAGTTTTTTTTTTGCGCATTTTTTAGTTTATAGATTAATAAAACAAAAAAAATTAACGTATTAACGTAATGCATTACTTTCCGTAACTAAGTAATGCAACTAATTGCTTTTTTTGGGGAGTAACTCAATATTGTAATGCATTACTTTCTGAAGTCACTTTCCCCAACACTGCATATATGAATATATAAATAAGACATAATATTATGAAAAACTTTCCCCAGTGATGGGTTGCAGCTGAAAGGGCATCCACTGCATAAAACATATGCTGGATAAGTTGGCGGTTCATTCCGCTGTGGCGACCCCAGATTAATAAAGGGACTAAGCCGAAAATAAAATTAATGAATGAATTATGAAAAAGAAAGGACAAATTGTGAATAATAACAACATGCAACTGTGATTTATAGTATGTGTGTTTGCATAGCTAGTGTGTTATTTTATTATATTTTTAGAAGGGAATAGAATAATCAGAAAGTTAATAAAATGAAAAAATGGTTATGTGAAAATCCATCCAAAAAAGAAAATATAATTTACTAAATATGTTTAAATGCTGCAACTAAAAGTGTTCAAAGTAACTCTTATTTTCTGTGTTTGATTTTAACTTTAACTCCAGCCATCATTAAACATGCAAAAAAGTAAAACAAAAGCAAAGAAGCCTTGAGGCATATTTAAGTGTAATCAGCTAATGCATTGATTTTGGTATTCCTTTAACACTACAATAAGAGGTGACATTATAAAAAAAAAACTGTTGTAAACAATAATAAAAAAACTACTTTATTAAAAATTTACTATGGACGGGGTTCATGCACATTTTTACTACAGAAATTCCAGGAATTTTAAGTCAATTTTCTTGACCTAATGTTCCATGTACTGTCTACATATACATGGTAAATCATATGAAATGTTTTAACTTATAACAGCATATCATAAAACAAGCAATAGTTTCAATTAATTTTTATGTCTATGTAAAGTAGATGTGAGAGCATGTTTTGGCCAAGAAAAGAAAAGAAGTAAAAACAACTAAACTCCATTTCAATATACAGATATTTGTCAAACTGATTTTAGATAATGCTAATAGTTTATTAAACTAGTAATCGTAGGTAAAACTACTTCTATTGTAAAGTCGCGATCACACTGCACTTTTCGCTCCATAGACTTCCATTCATAGGCATGCCAGTGAGGCAGACCAGAAACGCAAGCACGTGCGACAAGTTTCGCGTTTCACTGCATTCGAAAGTTCAAAGCCTGCGAAATCACATCAGGTAATTGCGTGAGACCAATAGAAGATCATTTAAAATGAGAAATTTAAAATATGGCGCAATCGCTCACTTGTATTGACGTCTAATCATATTGTTAACCCCGCCCCTTTTCGCTGTGATGTATGACAGAATTTTGCAAGCACAAGCTCTAGTGTGACCGCAGTCGATTTGGACACAAACGTCTGCTAAGTGATTAGGTGTAAACGTAATTTCCATGACTTTTCCAAAACCTTGTGGGTTTTTCCTGTTTTTTCCAAAACTTTTTTTCAGGCCTTGAAAATGTCAGGTCAAAATTCCATGACTTTTCCATGACCGTATGAACCCTGTAAATAAATGTCACAATCGGTGTAGCACCACAGACGATCAAGACTGAGATTATCAAAAACACACATTTATTTACAAACTCGCACTTACTACACAGGAACATGGAACACAGGCATCATCGGGGATGTGACAATACATAGCCGGAGAAAGACTGAACACAGGAGTAGAAATACACAAGACGTAATTAAACTGAATACACACAGGCGTGAGACACAGGTGGAGATACTGAAACATTAACACAGGGCGGGAAAACAGAACAAAGGAGTCACATGACATAGACAAACACAGGGGACACCACATGACAGAGCCACAAGACATGTGACAATAAATGCAATATTACAATGGCAATTGGATCCATGTGAACATGCGGTGTTGTGTGAATTATTTTATCATAAATTAATAAAAATATATAATATAAAGAACTCTCTTTAAAAAAAAAAAGTGAAAATCCAGCACCACACTCTCATTCTCCAAAACAAATGAATGACATTTTATTAATATAATTTTCTGTCCTTAATTAATCTTCTATGTCCTATTATTATACTGTAAAATTGTATGTTTTGACACACAGTGTATTGTAATGAATGCATCCAAACCTAATCACTGAACATGCAACATAATAAAATCTATAATTACACACTGTAAAATAACAAAAATAGCCTAATTATATTACATTTAAGAAGGTCTCTGGTTCGAGTCCCTGCTGGGTCAGTTGGCATTTCTGTGTGGAGTTTGCATGTACTCTCCCCGTGTTGGCGTAGGTTTACTCCGGGTGCTCCGGTTTTCCCTAGAGACGACGAGCTGGTGTTTGCTAATTGCCATCGCTTTCTCTCTCTCTATTCAATTCAGTTCAATTTAATTTGATTCAATTTAATTTAAATGTGCTTTGTTTGCATGATTTGTCAAGTATTTCCAAAGCATTGCAGATTACATAGACAATGAATAAATCATAAAGTGATTATATATAATCACAACAAAAACACAACAAAATATGCATACCGAAATAAGTTTGTAAGTCGCTTTGGATAAAAGCGTCTGCTAAATGACTAAATGTAAATGTAAGAAATAAAAAGACTAATGATAATTAAAAATATAGTGAAAGAGAAAATATATTTTTATCAGCGATAAATTATATTATTTATTAAAATATAATATCAAAATATCGTCCAAGAAAAACATAACTCAAAACAAAAATAAAACGAAACAAAAATAGCAAAGCAAAACAAAAACTAAAATTAAAAACAAAAATTAAAACAAAACTAAATTAAAATAAAACTAAATTAAAATACAAAAACAAGTTAAACCAAACAAAAATTAAAACAAAACTAAAACAAAATTAAACAAAAACTGAATTAAAAAAACAAATTAACAAAATTAAAATAAAATAAAACAAAACAAAAAAACTAAACTAAAAATAAAATTACAGTCCAAACACATGCGCTATAGGTGAATTGGATGAACTAAATTGCCTGTGTGTGTAAATGAGTGTGAATGGGTGTTTCCTAGTACTGGGTTGGGGCTGGAAGGGCAACCGCTGCATAAAACACATGCTAGATAAGTTGGTGGTTCATTCTGCTGTGGTGACCACTGATAAATAAGGATCTAAGCTGAAGGAAAATTAATCTATGAATACATTACATCTTTAATTAAATAGAAATAGCATATAACTTAAATGCGGATGAAATGTAAAAGTAGAACAGAATAGCAAATATTTAAAAGGTCGCTGTAAAAATTAAACGCCACAGTCAAAGTCCAAGTCATACAAACAGATGGCCACGGTTAAGCATTTCTGTCAATGAGTGTTTTCATCAGTGTTTGGGTACTGTAACATATCTCTGGAATTTCCATCCTCTAACACATATCGTTTGTCTTAAATGAGTCTGTTATCGACACACTCATTCCCTACACAAACATGCCTGGAGTTACCATCAGTGATAAGAGACGCCTGTGCTCTCGTAAATTAAAATAATCGACAAGCCTTCCATTCAAATAAAGCCCTTTATCAACGACTCCTTAACTTATAAGTTTCCTATAGTTAAAAGCTTATTCATTTTAACCTAATATAAGCCTTTAAGCTGAATACTAGAGTGAATACTAAAAGCTTTGGTTATTGTGGCAACAAGAAGATTTAAAACATGATGCCATTCACTCGCCTGTTTTATTGATACGCAATGTGGGGTAAACTATGCTTTGTGCCTTCCAGATCCTTCTCTGCTCTATAGCTTCATTCATTTTTAAAGAGCAGCCCATGCTGGGCTTCGATTGTCCAGTCAGGTCCTCTGTGAGGTCATTTCTGATTGGCATCTCCTACTGTAAACCGTTCACTGGATTTGGACTATACCGCCTTTCAGTGCTGGTATTATGTTTTGGGACGGCGAGCTGGTGTTTGCTAATTACCTTCGCCTTCTCTCTATCTCTATATTCAGTTCAGTTTAATTTGATTCGATTTGATTCAAATGTGCTTTATTTGCATGACTTTTCAAGTATTGCCAAAGCACTGCAGATTACATGAACAATGAATGAATCATAAAGTGATTATATAACATGTATACAAAACACACAACAAAAAATATGCCTACACAAATAAAAAAATAAAAGACTAATTATTATTAAAGAAAAAAAGTTTATTTTTATTAACAATAATAAATTATATTATTAATTAAAATATATTCTTAAAATATGTTTAAAATATGTTCTTTCAAGAATAACAAAACTCAAAACAAAAATAGCAAAGCAAAACAAAAACTAAAGTTAAAATTAAAAACAAAAAATTAAAACAAAACAAAATTAAAATAAAACAAAAAATAAAACAAAACTAAAATACAAAAAGAAATTAAAACAAAACTAAAATAAAATGAAACAAAAACTGAATAAAAAAAAAACTAATTAACAAAATTGAAATAAAACAAAAAACTAAACTAAAACTAAATCAAAAATAAAATAAACAAATCAAAACAAAATTTAAATAAAACAAAAACTAATACAAAAAACTAAACAAAACTAAAATAAAACTCAACAACAAAACAAACAACAACAACTTAAACAAAAATTAAAACAAAAACTAAATTAACAAAACTAAATTAAAATAAAACAAAAAAACTAATTTAAAACAAAACTAAAACTAAAATAAAAATCAAAAATTAAAACAAAAACCAGAAATAAAAAACAAAACAAAAACTCAAATGAAATACATGACTGTAGATTCATTCAGATAGTTTGTAATGTTTTTACTAGTTTTGTTACACAATAGTGATTAAGCAGCTATAGTAAAAAATACAGTTAAAAACAATAATAAACTGTATACTTGGTTTTAATCTCAGTTTTAGTATTGGCATAGAAGTTATTGGTATAAATATAAGTTATATAGTTATTGGCATAGAAGTTTTTTAACAGTATTGCCAAAGCATTTAAATGTAAAGTAAAATATGGAATATATTTACATCATCAGAAAATACAATATACAAAATAAGGGGGGAAAAAGACAGAAAAAAATAACAAAAAAGAAAAAAAAAACTTCTAATATTAATTTGAATAAGTACAATAATTTCTTATGGTGTACATGTTTCCCAAAGTCTCTCTCTCTTTTATCAATTTAGAGTGCAGTCTCTCTCTCTCTCTCTCTCTCTCTCTCTCTCTCTCTCTCTCCCTCTCTCTCTCTCTCTCTCTCTCATGAGTGCAGCTGGTATTGACAGAGTGCAGACTGGCTTTGACTCTGGTTTTCAGCATGAATTCTTGTGTTATTTTGGCATGACGGATACATCATGTAGTTCTGGAGTTGTTTATATGGACGTAGCGGCTCTAAACTGCACAACAGCAATGTTTGTTTGTGGATTGCTTTCCTTTGTGTAGCTTTAATCAGGCTGAAAGACTTTACTTGGGACCTCTTATCCTTGATAATGGAGGTAAGTTAGTTTGGTAAATTAGTTATGAATAGTTTTATGGATAGAGATGTGTTAGCTGTGTTTTATTTTAATGCCCTTTTAAGGTTTCACTGTGGTATTTTTCTGTAGTTGCAAATGCTGTTAAAATTATGGTGATTTAAGAAGATTTTCTGCTCTCATTTTGATGAAGTGGTGTTGAAGCTCAAGAGATGTATAAAATGTATAGATATTTAATGTTGGTGAATATCAAGACATTTTATGTAATCCATAATCTATTGTTAACAGTTTAATGTATTGATTTATATTGTATTTGTATTACATACATCGTTTTCACACTTTATTGTTAGCACTTTGGTCAACTTTGTTGTTTTAAAGTGCAGTATGAATGCAATTTAATAGAAACAATGCAAATGAATCGATTAAACGAATTTAGATGTATTATTTCAGAACAGCGGTCTATTTAACATTTATTTAAATTAGGGCTGCACAATATATGCTTTCAGCATTGATATCGCAATGTGTGAATCTGCAACAGCCACATCGCAGGACCAGCAATGTCAAGTTGGGATTATAGTTGATCAGCATCACAATTCAGAAAATGTGATTTGCAGTCTTCGCAAAGTTTAACCCTAAAATAGAGTGAAAGGTTTCCATTTGGATGTGTTTTTAAGACCTGTGACTGTGTACAATTTAAGCAAACTTAAACCAAGTGGTTATAGTGGTACATAAACCAAAATCAGTTGTATTTAATTACTTGAACTATGAAGACTCTACACTGTACAGTGTTATTTTATCTACTATGATAAAATGTCTTGCACCTCAGTAATTTGTATTTGTTCAATTGTACAGTACTTTATGCAGATACTTCCAATAATCCCAGATACAAAATAATCCCAATCAATGTAAACATATGAATTCATACTAAATAGAGTTATACGTGATCTTGTGAACTTATTTATATCGCAATATACAGTTATATGAGTCAGAATTATTCACCCCCCTTTTCATTTTTCTTTCTCTTTTAAATATTTCCCAAATTATGTTTAACAGAGAAATTAATTGTTCACAGTATTTCTTCTGGAATAAGTCTTATTTGTTTTATTTTGGCTATAATAATAATAATAATAATAATAATAATAATAATAATAATATATATATATATATATATATATATATATATATATATATATATATATATATATATATATATATATATATATATATATATATATATATTTTTTTTTTTTTTACATTTTAAGGTCAATATTATTAGCTCCCTTTAGCAATATTTGTTTTCGATTGTCTACAGAACAAAGCACAGTTATACAATGACTTGCCTAATTACCAGATTAGGCAAGTGTTTGAATGTTTGGATATCATTAGGTGTAGTAATTAAAACAGTAAAATGATTTACATAACAGATATAGATAAAAAATAAAGTTTCATAAGCATATTTTACCATAAACTTTAGGAACTTCAGCACTATTTAATGTGATCTTTTATTTTAACTAAACTATTAGATGTACATTTTCATAGATTACATTTCCATGCAAACCTTTGAAACAAGATGTTTGTTTAGATATAGTTTTAGAACAGTAAATATTTTATGCAGTTTAGAACTGAACAGATTTTCCATGAACGTTTAGAGTTGTAGAATTACAAGATACAGTTATTTATTTATTTATTTATTTATCAGTAGTGCTGGGCAAGGATTAATCGTGATAAATTGCAAGCAAAATAAATGTTGTCTTTACTTATCCAGCATATTTTTTACACAGCCGATGCCCTTCCAGCTGCAACCCAGTACTGGGAAACATCCATACACACTCATTCACACTCAACGGCCAATTTAGTTTATACATATATACACTAAATATGTATAATTAAATGTATATTTTGGATACAATTATTCGCCATTAATCTTTGCCCAGCAGTATTCCTTAGCTTTAAGTAGCTAGAATGTAACAAAACACCGCTTGTTTGTTATGACTGAAGTGTGCAGTTGTTTTGATTATGCAATATGGATTAATGCAGATTATTTTAATTACCAGGACTCCAAGTTGCCGATGGCTTTAAGGAGTAACTTACTGGACCTGTTCGGACAAATCGAGCGAGAGTTTGAAAATCTCTACATCGAAAACTTGGAATGTGAGTATTAACCAAGTAACCTATGCATTTTTTTTTTTTCTCTCATAATGTTTAGATCATTTATATTTCAAGTCGTGGTGTGCATGAGGTGACTAATGAAGTGAGTAAACCCTGTAATCTTCTACATATTTGAACTAAGCTGCTTTCACAATTACTGCGTCCTCAATATCTGAATAATTAATCAGTTTGCTGGTTACAGCTTTCAGAAATACTTGATTTTGGTCCGTGTTGTTGTGTCATGTGCAGTGTTTGGGTGCAACTAGTAACAAAAATCCACTGGAAACGTAAAATACCAGATTACTTTTCATTATAGGTCATTTAATTTATTATTAATTTCAGTTTAAGTTTATTATGCATTTAATTTAAGCTATTATTATAATATACTTGAAAGATTGCATGTAAATTCAACAGTTCTATATGAAATATACTGTATAATATACTGTATTTATTAGGTATAATTCACCCAAAAATGTCATTTTGTCTTTATGTAATGATGTATTTGTGGCCGTGAAATCACATGTGATGCGAGCTGCTGACCGTGAGCTGTTACCAAAGAGAGGGCGGGCGCGCGCACGTCTACTTAAGTTAACAGAACCTGCATAGGCTGAGAATAACCGGTAATAAAGCTGTAAATAACATTCAGTTTGTAGCACAGAGAGATCGTTTGAGAGCCGCGTGGGAAGTATGAACAGCACTCAGCAGTGAAAATGAAACCGAAAGCAAGCACATCATATAAATAATCATATCGCATTTTAGAGTTATGATTACGACAAGCGTTTAATATGTTTTTTCTTTCATAGCGAACACAGAGTGTTGTGCAATAAATGTTTACAATGTCAGTATACCTACTCCAGCCTATAAAATGTTTAATATAATGCAAGAGGGAATCTGATAATGACAAATGTCTGTGAATAAATGGTCTAATAATGTTGTCAAAGACAGATTGCAAGCTCATATCTCAAACATAATGTAACATCGGAATTATTATAAGCAGAATATAATTATTTAAAGAAACCAGTAGACTTACACAAAATATTGTTGTTATTTTACATCTACAGAATCGTGAGAAAATCTTGATCTTTATTTTAAGCAAAAAAATCAGGATTGTCATTTTTGCCAGACTCGTGCAGCTCTAATATCCACTTAGGGGTGATTTTGAGGCTTAATTTGGCCACAACTTCCTCTGTTTGTAATGTATGTAATCATTTGTAGTGACAAATCTTATTTTTACACATATTTTGGGACAATTCTTTGAAAATTTTTAAAAATTCAAATCGACTACCTTTTCATTATGTTGGTGACTGTTTTTGCCCCATTGACTTCCATTATAACGACATTTTAGATTGCAAAGCTGTGAGTTATATGAAGTATAGTGCGAGTGCATGCAAGTGTGCGTGCATGTGCGAGTGCCTGCTCAAGTAACTAAATTATTTTTCAAAGTAACCTGAGATGTAATTTCAATACAATTTTAATGATGCAATTAGCTATGAATTTCTTTTTTTTGTTGTCACTTACCAAAGACTTGTCCTGCATTATCCCTAACTTAATATATCAATGAGAAAATCTGTTTTCCCCCCTCAGTGATTCTGTTTATATTATAAGCTGTGTTTCTGTACAGTGCGGAGAGAGATCGAATCGCTAAATGAGCGTCTGTCAGGAGAAGGACAGACAGTCGAGGGTGGTGATCTGAGCAAAGGAGCCCTGAAAACTAAAGGTAAAAACACAACTGACGTTCAGCTTTTGTTTAGCGCCTGCATCCATTAGAGCAGATCATTGAATAAGCTTCTGAATAAATAATAACGTTGACTTCGGTGAATCAAGAGGCGAAGCGTTATCAACTTCTGATGGTACACTGAGGTCTTGTCGAGTGAATAGGGCTGAGCAATAAATATAGTTTTTTTATTTATTTATATTTATTATTTATGTATAACAAAACATTTTTTTAAATAATAAAATGATTATTTTTTATTTATTCATATAATTAGTATTTGTTATTTATAATAATACTTAATAATTTTTTAATTATTTTTAATTTAAAACTTTATTAATTTTATTATAAATATTTTATAGTATTATGTTGTTATTATAATTAATTTATTATTATTATTATTTTCATTTATCATATTTATGTTGTTTATTTATTTGTCATTTTTATTATTTATAATAATAATATTTGTTTATAACATTAGTTTTATTATTCATATTATATTATTATTATTATTAATATTATTATTATTTATCATTATTTATATTATTCATTAATTTATATTATTTTATTTATTATTTATCATAATATTTGTTTATATTATTCTTTTCATTATTATTTATGTGATGTTATTATTATTATTTATATTACTTATTTCATTTTTATTTATGTATAATATTAATATTATTACTACTATTACAGATTATTTATTTATATTATTTATGTTTATTCTTTATAATAATATTAATTATAATAATAACAACATTTGTTTATTATTATTAAATTTATTATTTGCATTATTATTAACCATTTTAATTATTATTTTTATTATTTATAATGATAATAATACTTATTATTATTGTTATTATTATTATTATTATTATTATTACTTTATTTATCATAATATTTATGATTTGATTTACTGCTTAGTGTCAGCGTTTATTCTGGAGGTGTATTTGCATTTAAATCAAAGCTAACATTATTTTAGGCAACCCTATGTAGTTTATCCTTTCTTTAATTCTGTATCATCACATTCACGTTGAAATGAAACACAAGAACTACTTAATTAATCCCAGTAATATATTTGTCTCCATTTTGATCAGTAATTGTAATAAAAATAATAATCAAATAAGAAACCTGTTGATAACTGGGAGACATTTTTAAATAACAGACTGGGAGATAAGCTGAATGAATTCATAAACGGTCACTGTTTAACTTCAGGTCTGTTTATTTAAGTACTTGTGGCTTGATATTTATTGATAATTGTTTCACACTCTTCTAGGTTAGGGGTTTGGGTGTTTCATCAGTTCCCATTACTAACAGAAGAATATAATCATACCGCCATTTAATCTCCTTAAACATTTACTGATTTTTCTACTGATTAGATTTGAGCCCCTTTTCGGTTATGCTTAACAATGGCTATGTTCAAAAAGCGAGGTTTGTTTTGTTTTCAACTCAAGTGTAATGTGGACGTACTTAAAGGCATAGTTCACCCACAAATGAAACAATATTCACCATTTGCTCACTCGTTTCAAACATTCATGAGTGTCTTTATTCTGTTGATCACAAAAGAAGGTATTTTGTAGAAATCTGAAAACCTGTAACCATAGACTTCCATAGTATTTGTTTTTCTACTATTGAAGTCAATGGTTACTGGTTTTCAGCATTTTTCAAAACATTTTCTTTTGCATTCAACAGAAGAAATAAACTCATAAATGTTTAAAACGAGTCAAGGGCGAGACAGAATGACAGGATTTTCAGTTTTTAGTGAACTACCCCTTTAACTGAAGACAACAGACTACTAATACTACTACTATTATTACTACTACTGCTGCTGCTACTACTACTACTACTACTACTTATAATAATAATATTAATAAACAGAATGCATATATTTGTGTTTCCCTCATCATCCTTCATGATTTCTTCTACACAGCTAGTCACAGCACAAGTCAACTGTCCCAAAAGTTGAAGACGACATACAAGGCCTCCACTAGCAAGGTATGGCTGTATCTATACGGGTTTCTCTCGCATATTTTTTGCTCTAGATTAAACTCTTATTGTGGGCCGAGCTCAGAATATTTCTCTCTGTAACATCACTAATCTCTAGACTTCTGTATCTCAGTGCAAAGTCCCTTTCTTTGCAGCCGGCTTAGAGAATTTGCAGCTTAACAAGTAGATTCTTCATAGTTAAACGAGCTGTAGAAGAGTCACAATACCAAAATATCAATGCAATATCATGATGTGTACTGAATCACAGGATGGGTTGCAGTTTTGTAAATGGCATTCCTTCATTCAATTTCCACAATTAAAGAGATGGTTCACATAAAAGTGAACATTTAGTTATTATTCTCACCCTGGTGTTGTTTTAATAATATATGCCTTACAGTATATAGACTATTATAGTACACATATTTTCATGTAAATCATGGTAAAAATGAGAGCCATTTTTTTCAGATATAAAAATGAATGACATTGAACAGTATGTTCTAAAATATTAAGAAAAAGAAATATTATATATATATATATATATATATATATATATATATATATATATATATATATATATATATATATATATATCAAATATTATATTTTATAATATTACATAATAATATATTTTGTAATATTACATTATTTTATATATTATATTTTATTATATTACATTACATTATATTATATTAATTATATTATATATATATATATATATATATATATATATATATATATATATATATATATATATATATATATATATATATATATATATATATATTATGTTATACTATATTTTATTATATTACATTACATTATATTATATTAATTATATTATATATATTATGTTATACTATATTTTATTATATTACATTACATTATATTATTATACTTGTCTTAATTATCCGGAATAGAATTCATGAGCATTTATGTGGTTATAAATTTGTATAATATAAAACAATTCAGAATTATTTATGGAATTAATTGAATAAAAATATTGAATGTAGTACAAAATCCAATTCTTGAGAATCTTCAGATATTATGTATTTTTAAACATGCATTATATTATATTTTAATATACACAGTCATGTGAAATAAATTAGGACACCCATGAAAGCCTGGGTATTTTGTAATTTTTTATTTTATTTTTTTAATATATATAAATATGGTTATTTAATCTCAATTTTAGGAATGCAAAATGATTAAAGCATTACTACTAAACAATTAAAACTGAAAAAAAAACTTTTCAAGACCGTCTGTAAATGTAATTCTACAAAACTGCATATTCTAACTGAGGAAAAAGTTAGGATACCTCACGTTTAATCAAACTTAAAATGGCTCAAATCACAGACAAGTATATCACAACAGATGCACATTACTAGTAAATCAATACACAGCTATTTGAATAAGTCTTAAAACAAATACCCAGGCTTTCATAGGGTGGCCTAATTTTATCACATGACTGTTTATAATGATATTTAAATACATGTTTTATATTGTGGGGTAAGCAATTGTAAATATATATTATTTATTTTTCACATATATTATATTATATTATATTATATCCAAAAAAAAAAGTACGCATTCCTTTATCCCAAACTTTTTGGTTATACATTTGTATGATGCAAAATTATTCAGAATATAGAGTAAAGAGTTTTACTGAAAGGTTGAATTCAGTACAAAATGAAAGACTTAAAATAATAATAACTGCACTACTTGGTTTGGTTATTATTTGCTTATTTCTCCTTTTAGTTACTGTTTTAGTTTTATAGTTCCCTTATAAAATGTTTACACCCCTGAAGCACCCATTAAACCCAAATGGCTGTTTGTAATCAAACACAGTAAGGCAATTAAAAAGCTGATGTTATTGCAGTAATTTTCAAGACTTGGTCTATTATTGAAACAAAGCACCAGTTTGCTTGTAGACTCTTGAATTTAGAGCTGATTGGTGCTGATTCAGATTTGTAACGGTTTGATCCTCATGGATTACAATTTTTCTTTTCTCCCGGTTTCACCGATGTAGCGCTCAAATTCTTTCCCGGGGAAAGTAGGTGGACCTCGCAACTTCAATGTGGGGAACTGGGAGTTATGGGGTGGAGACTCATGGGTAATTAATCCTCAGTGTGCCAAAACGCATGAACTATCCAACAGTTGGGGGTCATAACCCAATAATCATGTGCCTGAAACAAGCCACCAATCTGCTTATTTGCCAACCTCTTAACACTAATGCAGCATTAGACTACATTAACATAGACCGTAAGACTTTGGCTTTGTTATGATTAATGGTGAGCATCAAGAAATATCGCTTAAGGATTTTTTGAACTCTTGGCTTGGCTTGGAAATCGTTTTTTTCTTCTTAGACAGCAAATCTTACTTCATTCAAGCATTTGGCCAGAGCAAAGTGAATAAACTGAGCTTTGTTATGAATCAGAATGTGCTAGTTCTTCTGTAAAAATAATAAACTATTACATGTTTTGTGACCAATAATAAAACAAAAAAATGCCATGGCCAAATATCTTGGTGGTGTCAATGTGGGTCAGATTTGCTGGCAGGAAGAGAAACAGGAACGGTTGTGTAAATCTAACAACCTTTTTATTTTTATTTTTTATACCATATTCTGGCTTAGATAGATAGTAGATCTGACTCAATTGAATCCGTGTCCTTTTGGTGACATTTTGGTTCTAACAAACTGACTGTAAACCAAAACGAAAAGATCTTTAACTCTGTTTGTAATTAAATTGACACTTTATAACCTTGATCCCCCTGCTGAGTAGTTCTGTAATGTGGTATCCCTCATTCAACCCCTTCCCTTCAAAACGGTAGACATGACAGAAGACAAAAGCACAACGGCTAAACCACATTCAAGTGAACAGTAGATGATGTTTGTTTAGTCGGTGTTGAAAATGCTCTCATTTGTTTGTAGTATATTTTTAAATCTAAATGTACACCTACTTTAGTCTGCTTTTCTTATACCATAAACTATATTGAAAATGTCAAGTTTGGGATAAAGTACAGTCTGGAGGTTGTTCTGACAGAAATGAAAACAGCTGATGAAGTATACACTAACCCCTGCATTATTCAGACACAAGATGACACCAAACAGTCAACGCAAAGCTGACAAACAAGAACAGCTGATGGAGTATACATTAACCTGCGCATTATTCAGACACAAGATGGTGCCAAAAAGTCACACCGCAAATCTGACGAAACGAAAAAGGCTGATGAAGAATACACTGACCTGCACGTTATTCAGACACAAGATGGTGCCAGTCGAAAACACAAAGCTTAGAGTAACGAAAACAGCTGATGGAGTATACACTGACCTGCTCATTATTCGGTTTCAATATGGCACCAAATGGTCAAAAACACAAAGCTGACAGAAACAAAAAATGCTAATGGAATATACATTAACCTGTGCATTATTCAGTCACAAGATGGCGCCCAACAGTCAAAAATGCAAAGCTGACAGAAACGCAGCTGATGGATAATACACTAACCTGTGCATTTAGTTGCCAGATGGCGGCAAATGGTCAAAACTGCAAATCTGACAAAAAAACGAAAACAGCTGATGGAGTATACACTAACCTACGCATTCAGACGTAAAATGGTGCTAAACAATCAAACCGCAAATCTGACAGAAACGAAAACAGTGGAGTACACACTAACCTGCGCATTATTCAGTCGCAAGATGGAGCTAAACATTCAAACCGCAAAGTTGACAGAAACGAAAACAGTTGGTGGAGTATGTACTAATATCCGGATTATTTGGTCGGAAGATGGCACCAAATGGTCAAAAATGCAAAGTTTACAGAAACAAAAACAGCTGAAGAAGTATACACTAACCTGCGTATTATTCAGTCACAAGATGGCGCCAAAGAGTCAAATCACAAATCTGACCGAAACGAAAACAGCTGATGGAGTATACACTAACCTGCACATAGTCACAAGATTTTGTTTGCTCATCGAAGACGTGATGCCCTTTAAATTTGTTGGAACTCAAGTTTTGGTTACCTGGACTTTCCAACGGAAACCTTAAAAAATGTATCATTATAAAGATCCTAATGTAGGTTTCAGAGTTTTGAGGTTTTAGGATGACATGAGGTTGCGTGATCTTTAAAACAAATCAACATTTTATGGACCTCAGAGAATATTTAAGTAACTTTCCTCAACAGAAACTATTATTGATTTTTAGCAAACTTTAGGTTACAATTAAATCATAAAATTGCAAAACACACGCAGTACTTATGTAGTTACTATAGAAAAACCTCAGGGACTTGATTTCAAACTACTTTTCTAGTTATTGTAAGTTCAAGGCATTTCATGATTGTCTTTGGACATGTTTTATTGAGCTTGGTCATTTACTACGGGATATTGTTTTGTAATATTAAAGAGCATTTTCACAGGGCTCGATGTGCTTGCTGTGTTTGCTCTTACCTTCAGTGACATTTGGAGCTCAGCTGTGCTTCTGAGTAGTTAGGCTGCATATTGACATGCTTGCATTCCTTCCTTGAGTCCATCGCTTTCTTGAAGTCATTTGCTTCCTGTGAACGTTAGAACAATCTACATCAATACTTCTTTATTCTGAGCATTGCCTTTTACAGATATTGTTAGGGATGCACTGATAAAGACATTGGCCGATGAATTATAGAGTTCATGATTTATAAAACATCAGTATGATGGATTACAACAGTATTTAAATAAAACAATATTCTCAAAACTGTATTACTGGAATAAAGATACTGGTTTGCAGTCGGTTTAAGCTTTGAAGACATTATATTATATTAACATTACATTAACATTATTATAAAAAGTGCTCAATCATCACTGATATTTTGTGCATCCCTAAATATTACAGCATTTTTTTTACTATTAAATATGTGTTTATGCAACAATATATGTTGTTTCTCATCATTAAATGTAGCAAATAAAGACTAATATATGGTATTTTACTATGGTATACTACTATAGTTATGTGGAACTTACAGTTTGATCAACTCTAAATGATAAAAGCAAATTATAAAAACTGTGATTTTTATTTGAAATATTCACCCTGTTAAATATCTTGATACCAAATTCTATGCAAAATGTTCCAATATATGCAAAATACTCAATATTTGAGCCATTGGGCATTAAATTAAAGAGATTTATAATGTTTCGAAATATGTATTGTTTTAAATTATTGCTTTTAACTGATTCTTTCTTATTTAATGGATAATACATGTTACACGAGACACCAAATCAGCATCTACACTACCTGACAAAAGTCTTGTCGTCCATCCCAGTTGTAAGAGCAACAAATAATAATAAAAAAGCAAATAAGGTCAAGGTTCTTCGGGATTGGCCAGACATAAACATTACTGAGCATGTCTGGGGTAAGATGATGGAGGAGGCATTGAAGATGAATCCAAAGAGTTTTGAACTCTGGGAGTCCTGCAAGAACGCTTTCTTCGCCATTCCAGATGACTGATAGGTGATTTGAGTCATTGCAGAGATGTATGGATGCAGTCCTCCAAGCTCATGATGGAGTCAGACACAATATTCACTCTGTCTCCACTGCAGCAGGACTTTATATTCTATACTGGACATTATTTCTGTTCAGTGACAAGACTTTAGTCTAAGCAAAGTCAGATCTTACTGTCCTAATGAAATCATTAATAATGATTTTATTTTGGTCAAATAAGCGTAATCTAGAGGCCTTTGCCCGTCATATAAGCCCCTTCTGATGCCAAATGATCAACTAGAAGTCAAGTTATTATTTGTTGTTTACAAAACTTTAATAAGCGACAAGACTTTTGTCAGGTAGTGTATTGAACAATTTTAAACTAATAATCTTTCTAATTTATTTTTTAAGTTTTGATTTACTTACACCCAAACATTTGACATTTTAATAATATTGTCGTATATGACATAAAATAAAAATTGTAAATATATATGTTATTGTTTCCACAGTATTTTATCAAATGCATGCACATCTGCTAAGCATAAGGTAAACATAAAAAAATGAATAACATTTAGCAAAATCTACACTTCTGAATTCAGTTTGCACAATATCTGGACCACTTTAATAGTAACTAATACATGGATTTATATTAGTGCATAACAATTATTCAGAAGAGGTCGTTGTACCTCAGAAGATCTTTTCTGTAATTCAAATGTTCTTATAGGAGATCTTTCAGTGTATTTTAAATGAGTTTTATGTAAAGTCTGTGATTTCAGCAATTTAAATGTCATTTAATCAACTTATTCAATGTAAATGATATATATTTTTTGTTTAAAGCAGTGTTTCTCAACCATGTTCCTGGAGGACCACCAGCTCTGCACATTTTCCATGTCTCCTTAACTAAACACGCCCGATTCAGATCATCGACTTATTAGCAGAGACTAAAACACCTGTGATGAGTGTGACAGATCAAGGAAACATACAAAACATGCAGTGTTGGTTGTTCTCCAGAAACCTGGTTGAGAAACACTGATTTAAAGGGATAGTTCACACAAAAACTGAGATGTACGCACTATTTTCAAGTCATTCCAGAATTTTATAAGTCTACTTTTGTGTCCATATTTTAAAGAAAGCTTAAAACCTGTAACTATTGACTTCCATAGTAGGAAAAACACACACTACAGAAGTCAACGGTAGCTAATATTTTTCAAAATTACTTCTTGTGTGTAAATGATGCAATTTTCAATTTTGTGTGAACTATCCCTTTAAATTGCATTATCTACTTTTTGTAACATCTCCCTTTTTCCTTTTATTTATTTATTTACTTATTTATTTTAGATACAATCCTTACATTTTCACGCATCTTTCTTGACAGCTTTTAAACATTTCAACAGTATTTGTTTGCTATAGTGGTGTATTATTTTGTGTGTTCGGGTGTTTTACTTTTAAACGATCCTATTCAAGAAGTATTGACTATGCTCTCCAAGACCTTGGATCTTGTTCGAGAGACTGTATGACTGAATGCCGTGTGTTCATACAATCCAGCAGTGTAACCACATGAGTGTAGAGATGTTCCAGTCATGTATGGTTTGAGTATTTCCCCCATGCTTCTGCGCTGCTTACTGTGTCGCTCTGTGTGTGTGTGTGTGTGTGTGTGTGTGAGAAGCTCTGATCATACGCTCACTCTGGTTTCCATCCCTCAGATTGTGTCCAGTTTCAAAGCAACCACATCGCGCGCAGTGTGTCAGCTGGTCAAGGAGTATGTGGGACACCGGGACGGGATATGGGATTTGGCTGTGACTCGGGTTCAACCGCTAGTTCTGGGCACTGCTTCTGCTGGTATTTTTTACTTTGATAATTTGAGATTTCTATTATGTCTACTTGTGTAATGTCCCTATCGATAGTGTTTCAGTCACAGTGGAGAACTGGCGAGCCAAAAAAATAAAATTGTTACTGTGCTCTCCATAGAAATGCAACACAATCCAGTCATATTTCCATCTGTTTCAGGGTACGGATATTTGATCAGCTAACGAAACCGAGAAATGATTCCAAACTGTCAATAGGGGGCACTTGTGATCCATATGTTGCACTTATATTTGTTTTTTAGTCATTTAAAACCAGTTAAAAGCTGTCAGAGCTCCAATTGGCAGTATTTCCATCGATTTTGTGGATATTCTTCGACAATTGAATCATTGGTAGACCCACATCGCAGATTTCCACATTGTTTTAGCCTACTATTGATTCTATTTATTTACTTGTGTAAATGTGTGTGTACAGTTGAAGTCCGAATTATCACCCCATCTGTTTATTTTTTTCCTTAATTTCTGTTTAACGGAGAGCAGATGTTTTCAACACATTTCTAAACTTAATAATTTTAATAACTCATCTCTAATAACTGATTTACTTTATTTTTGCCATGATGACAGTAAATAATATTCGACTAGATATTTTTCAAGACACTTCTATACAGCTTAAAGTGACGTTTAAAGGCTTAACAAGGTTAATTAGGTTAACTAGGCAGGTTAAGGTAATTAGGCAAGTTATTCTATAACGATGATTTGTGCTGTAGACTATTGAAAAAATATATAGCTTAAAGAGGCTAATAATTTTGTCCTTAAAATGGTGTTTAAAAAATTTAAAAACTGCTTTTATTCTAGCCGAAATAAAACAAATAAGACTTTCTCCAGAATAATAAATATTATCAGACATACTGTGAAAATTTCCTTGCTCTGTTAAACATCATTTGGGAAATATTTAAAAAATTCAAAAGGGGACTAATAATTCTGACTTTAACTGTATATAAATATATATTTAAGTGTTTATATTAATTTCAGTAGCATTATAGAATATTATTTTATTTTTTCTGAACTGTGATCATGATTACATTTAAGCTAAAACACAGATGAGCGCTAAGCTCTCTCTGAATGTGATTTATTATTATTTTTCTCTTCAGATCACTGCTCTATGCTGTGGAGTATTGAGACCGGGAAGTGTCTACTAAAATACGCTGGTCACGCTGGATCAGGTATGAAACTTTTCACCAGTACACAGACTGTCAACATTTCTGCCTTTAACACTTTACAAAAGTGTTAATTTTGTGAACCTGCATTTGGAAGTGATTATTTTCAGGGTTTTACGAGCTGTAGGATTGGTGATTGTTGTGTACAGTGAATGTTTACTGTCTGTTTTTGCAGTGAACTCCATTAAGTTCCATCCCACAGAGCAGATGGCGCTTACAGGTATACAGAAAAACTTTTTAATGGTTTGCTTTTTTACACAATGTCTTATATTTCTGCATGTCTTGTTTATTAATATATGTTGGTGAAAAACGAATCAATATGTATTTTTATTAAAATGATTAATTGACAATAACAATTTCCATGAGTATTCCAATATTCGTCTGTCCGTCTGTAAATGGTTAAAATTGAAGAAGAATATGCTTAAATCTGATGAAATAAAAATGTCGGATTTTTAATTCAGAAAAATCTCAATTGTCTGAATTTTAATGAATTTTAAATTAATATTTTTTAAATATTTTTTAAAATAAATGCTACTTAATTTCTATAATTTCGCTGGTTTAAATCCAAGCTCAGTTGCCATTTCTCACATGCAGTTTGCATGTTCTCCCCGTGTTGGCGTAGGTTTCCTCCAGGTGCTGTGGTGTTCCCCACAGTCCAAACTAGAGATCTGCGCGGCACTAAATTTTGAATCCCGCCAGGTTTTAGCCCGAACCCGACCGCTCCCGCTTATATTTAGCATTTGTTGTCCCTCTGCCCAACCCGCCCCGTTTTCTACCCGTTGCGCCCATTTTCGCTAACGGACGAGGGGGAGAACAAAAGCGAAAACCACCCAGCTATACAGAGTCCAGACAGCCTATAACAAACTATAACACACACAAGCACCAAGCAAGTGACACACACACAGACAGCATCACGCTCTCTCTCTCATTCACGCATTCACGCATAAACACACACACAGCACAAAGCTCTCTCTTTCATATACACACACATACACACACACACACACACACACACACACACACACACACACACAGCAAGAAACAAGCTAAGCACAGCATCAGGCTGTCTCATTCACACACATACATACATACGCGTGCTTGCTCGCTCAGGAGTCAGGAGTGATATTGTTAGACCGCGAGCTTCTGTACAAAATTAAACCAGTTACCGACCGCTCCTGCGCTTCTTTCGGAAATTTATCCCCGCACCGCAAGAAATCTAGTCGGCCGTAGTGTACGAGTGTGAATGCGAGTGTATGGGTGTTTCCCAGTACTGGGTTGCGGCTGAAAGGGCATCAGCTGTGTAAAACATGCTTGATAAGTTGGCGGTTCATTCCACTGCGGCGGCCCCTAATGAATAAAGGGACTAAGCCGAAGTAAAATAAATTAATGAATAATAATAACAAATATTATAAAAATATTGTGAAAATGCCTTTGCTGTGTTGAACGGCGCTCGGGATAGATTTTTAAAACATATTACAATTTCACAAGAGAGCTTTTAATATTGCCTTCAACTGTGTGTGATTGTCTGCTGATCTCTCATGATGCTGCTAATGTGGAGTTATTTCATGACTGAGGGTTGTACTGCATTAAGACTGAGATGTTTCTCTCTTTCATATAGATTTGTATTTCCCAGATGCTTTTAAACGTGATTTGATCAATGGCTGTGCTTTTTTCTTTTTGCTAATGTTGCCTCTGTGTTTGTTTTGTCTGTTCCTGACAGCGTCCGGGGACCAGACGGCTCACATCTGGCGTTACATGGTACAGCTGCCACTTCCACAGCCTCCAGCAGACATCAGCGTGAGTATTAAACACACACGCACACACAAACACCCACAGAGACATGCGTACACACACGCGCATGCAGACGCAGACAGATACACTTAAACGCATATGACACACGTGTACAGACAAACATACACACAAAGGCAGACAGATGCGTACACAAATGCATACAGTACACACAAACGCAGTACACACAAACTAATTAGTTAACAGTAAGTGTAATATTAGTAATACTAAATATACAATTTAGTAATACTAAAATGTTCTGTGTAATAAAACGAAACAGGTAAAAAGTATTGAACACATGAAGGGAGGTGTGGAAATGCATGGAAAGCCCAGACTGCAGCTGAAATCTCTCAGTAGTTCTTCAGTAACCCTTTGCTTTTCCTCAGTGTAAATGAATATCAGCTGCTTCAGTCCAACATCTACATTAGCAGGATGATGGAGATGAAACCAGGGTGGACATTTCAGCAAAACAATGATCCACAACCAAGTAGACTCTCAAATGCTTTCAGAGAAAGAAAATCAAGCTGTAGAATGGCCCAGCCAATCACCTGACCTGAATCCAATATAGAATCTCAGATTTGATAGACGAGACCCACAGAACCATTCATTCATTTTCTTGTCGGCTTAATTCCTTTATTAATCCGGGGTCGCCACAGTGGAATGAACCGCCAACTTATCCAGCAAGTTTTTACGCAGTGGATGCCCTTCAAGCCGCAACCCATTCCTGGGAAACATCCACACACACTCATACACTATGGAAAATTTAGCCTACCCAATTCACCTGTACCACATATCTTTGGACTGTGGGAGAAACCGGGGCACCTGGAGGAAACCCACACGAACGCAGGTAGAACATGCAAACTCCACACAGAAACGCCAACTGAGCCGAGGCTCGAACCAGCGACCTTCTTGCTGTGAGGCGACCACTACCTACTGCGCCACTGCTTCACCCACCCACAGAACCATATGTATAATATTGTAAAGCATCCTATAGAAAATAATATGAATGTAAAAGCGAGATCTGTAAAGGGTGTACTCATTTATCCTGTGCACTGTAAACCCTTTAATTATAGAAAAGTGTTTTATTTTTTGTGAAATGTTTGTCAATTTGATCAGTTTTTCTGGTCATAATAACAGCTGGAGATGCTGAAATGGTAATGAAATCAAATTACCTCAAACATTTGCTCTTGTCATTTCCCGTGCGACTCAGGCCTCGCTGGACGATGACGTGGATTTCTCTGATAAAGACGAGGCAGACGGCGACGCTGATGGACCCAATGAATGCCCCACCATCCGCGTGGCCACAACCACCTTGAAGAGCCACCAAGGCGTGGTGATCGCCGCTGATTGGCTGGTGGGAGGAAAGCAGGTGGTCACTGCGTCCTGGGACAGAGCCGCAAACCTGTACGATGTGGAGACCTCGGAGCTGGTGCACACCCTGACAGGTGAACATGAGGAGAATTAAATCAACATTTACTAATGTGTTTAAGGAGAGTTATTATGGATATTTTAATTCATTCATTCATTTTTCTTTGGCTTAGTCCCTTATTTATCAGGGGTCGCCACAGTGGAATGAACCGCCAACTATTCCAGCATATGTTTTACACAGTGTATGTCCTTCCAGCTGTAACACTCATACACACTCATGCACTACAGACATTTTAGTTCACCAATTCCCCTATAGCGTATGTGTTTGAACTGTGGTGGAAACCGAAGCACCCAGATGAAATTCATCCCAACATGGGGAGAACATGCAAACTTCACACAGAAATTCTAACTGACCCAGCCGAGACTCAAACCAGTGACCTTCGTGCTGAGGCGACAGTGCTAACCACTGAGCCACCAGTTTTTTAATATTTGTTGTTTTTTATTTCTTATACTCGTTTCTTTTATTCTTGTTCATGTAAACCACTTTGAATTACCATTGTGTGTGAAATGTGCAGTATAAATAAAGTTGCCTTGTTTATTATTTGTTAAACCCTCAACTACAACTCAGTTGTATTGTATCAACCTCTACCCCAGCTCTAACCCTCACCATTACCTGTTTGTGTGTGTTTGCAGGTCACGATCAGGAGTTGACCCACTGCTGCACTCATCCGACTCAGCGTCTGGTGGTCACTTCATCCAGAGACACCACCTTCCGCCTGTGGGACTTCAGAGATCCCTCCATCCACTCAGTCAATGTCTTCCAGGGCCACACCGAGTGAGTCACGTCATCTTTTTGACCGTTGACATATAAACAACCTGTCAAAATGAACATTTGGTGTCACTTTAAATTACTGTATGCTTGTAAAATATTAATATTAGAGTAAATTAAAGTGCTTTTTATAGAAATAATATGGTATAATATTTTTTAATATGACAAATAATAATATAATAACAACAACAATAATAAATATTATTATTATATTTTAATAAATATTATATATTTATTAAATAAATACATATTTTTGTATTAGACCATAGATAAAGTTATGAATATTTTTTCAAAATGTTTTCCATAGTCATATTTTAATACAATTTTCAGTTCTTAAAGTGTTATGATTTTATTATTTAAACATACTTTTAAAAAAATGAATGAATTAAGATATTAAAATTACAACGCCAAACACAATGTGATAAAAAAAATCAATGCATCCTAAAATATTATTTAAAAATTTTGTATATATTATATTATATATTATTATTATTACCATAATAATAAAAAAGTTGTAATAAATATCTGTTAATTGATACATTTTATGACGTTTTTTACAAGCTTTTTGATTACTAAAATTAGTTTTAAAAATTAAAATGCATCAACAGAATAGTAATTTTAGATCATTTTTATATTTATTGTTGTCTGTAGCACATTTATACAAATTAAGCAAAATATGATACGTTTGTCATGATGGTGATTAGAAATATGTTTTGGGTGATGCATATCGGCACCGTTATAGTAATTAAAATTGCTCAGATCATTTTTGTGAAATAAAATATTGGAATATTTATTAAAATGTTGTGAATAATATTGAAAATATTTGTGAAATATAACATTTGCAAACTTAACAAAAAAAAAAAAAAACTAAAATGTATGAATTTAAACAAATAATGAATTAAAAGCTAAATTACTACCATTATTACTATTTTTATATTTTATTACTACAATATTTTAAATGAAAAATACATATATTTCTTTTGTTAATTGTTAATGTAATAATTTGAATAATTATTACAATTTTGTCGTTGTTATTATTATTATTATTATTATTACATTTTAAATTACAAAATATTTTTTATTTTTTAATTGTTCTATTAATTTTATAAATTATTACAACGTATAATAATACCTACAACAACAACAACAACAACAATAATAATAATAATAATAGTAGTAGTAATAATAATAATAACATTAATAATAGTAGAAATAGTAATAGTAATAGTAGTATTTTTCTTTTAATTGTTAATGTATTAATTAAAAAAGGATTTAATAATTACAAAAACTTATTAATACTAAATTATATGAACTAAAACATAAATAAAAAAAATAATAAAATGAAAAAAAAATCTTAAAAATAGTTTTTGTTTTATTGAGGTAAAATATAAATTCTTAATAATATTACCAGTAAATATTGGTAAAAAAATATTGATATTGTGGGTGGCTGTTGCTAAAGGTTTTGTCAGATAAGTATATATTTTTGCATTGCTATCCAAAATAAATTAATATTCAAAAAAGCCCAAATTAAGCAATAATTTGTCATCCATCAAAGTTCATCCCAGACATTCATTTAAATGACACTTTACAAATAATACATTATCCATGTGCTCCACCAGATGGCAGTGCATGTCCAGTAATTACACAAGCACCTCAACACACACTCATTTCACACTTAACTTTCATTTTATTCCCATACATCTCCTCTAAACTGTGTTAAAGTGAGCCCTTTACCGTCTGGCAGCGTTTGCTTTTTATTTCCCGTCAGCAGCTGCAGTGTGAGCGGTGTTTTGGTGGCGTTTAAATGGGTTGTGTGCTGGTAGTTATGGCTGGTTAAGGCGGCGCTGCAGTCTTTTGATTACGGAGGATTACACGCCGCTCATTATGTCCAAGCCTAACATGTATAATTCCGTCAGATCCGGCGTAATGCTCTCAAATAGACAATCAGCGTAATGAGATTAGCGGCGTAGCACACTGTCAGCCCCGCCGCGCGAACTCAATTACTGTCCTTCACCGGCACACACACACACACACACACACCATTCATTCAGCTCATTCATTACTCGCTGGACTCATGTCTGAGCAATAATGTGCTGCAGAGTCAATATAGTCACAGCTTGAAGCCATTGTTACACACAATATAGTGCAGTCTATATTATGTAAGGTATGCTTGACGACTGGCTGTTAAATTAATACGAATACCGAGATGGTTATTCGGCCATTAGGCCATAGCGGGGTGCCTTAAAGCCTGCTAAGTTTCAAATTTAGGCCTTACAAAGTCTTGAATTCACTGAATGAATGTCTTGTAGATCTTAAAGGGCACCTATGATGAAAATAATCTTTTGTAAGCTGTTTGCAGGTATACTGTGTGTGGTTATAGTGTGTCCACAGTCATATTGGGGTGATTTAAAGACAATAAGTCTCTTTTTTTTATTTCCTGATGTTAAAATAATATCAAATCTCTGCAATTTTGAGGCCCATTGCAACGTGACGTAGGAGTGCAGTTTCCCCGCCCACCGAATTGATTGACAGCCGTGTATTAATGCATATAATTATATCCACAAGACAGGACGTGCGCAAAGTAACTGGGATTACAGCGATTTTACCGTCTTCACCACAGCCGCTTGTCAGTGCAATTATAGAAGAAGAAGCTTCAATTAAAGTTTGTGGACGTTAAATCAGGTTAAATTTATACATGAGCATAACGGATATCCATACAGCAGTGCATAATAATGTGTATCCAGTCACATTAGCCATGCAAAAACAGTGCAAAGTTAAACGTGTGTGTGTGTGTGTCCGCTGTGTGCGTGAACTTTGTTACGACATTGTGTGTGACTTGAGGTTCGAATTAACTCCATAACAAATACATCAAATAATCATTGGGAAAGTTCTTACTGTAGTATTTCTCACAAAGGTTACACGAGATCTGCTTCCTTTTGTAAAGTTCACAAACTGAGGCCCCGTTTACACTAGTGCGTTTTAGTTTTAAAACGGCGTTTTAGATCAAAAACGATCCGCGTCCACACTAGCATTTCACCTAGCGTTTCTGAACATATCTCCGTCCACACTACACCACCAAAAACATATATCACGTGACCATTTGTGCACTCTGGGCATGTGCGTTCTAGTATAAACAGAAAGCATGTGTCTCGCTTGGCATTTGGTTATTGTTAGTCAACAAACGCTGGTTGAACAATAAACATGATGGCAAAGAAAACAAGAGAGGTATTTTTGTGGACAGACGACGAGGTTGAGTTGTTACTAAACATAACAAATGAATAACTGCACAATGGCGCCTAAAACAGACAATAGTGCAAGCAGCGCTCCCATTTCTGTGTCCATGTTGTTGTTTACAGTGAAGGCTGGTCTGCTGTCTTCCGGTAGCGTTAAAGCCATGTGTTAAAGTCATGTGATAGGGGCTTGACGAATGAGGGAAGGATATCCAATGACACAAAAGCCCCAATCAGGTATCGAATCTCAGCAGCCCCGCCTCCGTTTTCAGATGTCTCCGTTTTTCCTCATCCACACTGAGACGGAGCAGCAGCGTTTCAGAATGAAAACGACCTCTTCAGCGTTTTCGAAACGCTACCTTTTCGGCGCTCGAGAACTCTGGCGTAATGTGGACGGATGGTGTAACCGTAGCAAAACTTAAAACGAAAACGCATTAGTGTAAACGGGGCCTGAGATTGAAGCTTCTTCTTTTGTACTGACATGTGGCTCTGGTGAAGTAAAGACGGTAAAATCGCTGTAATTCAATACCAACATGCACGGTTTTAAAAACGATTTAAACTTGTAAAACTCATAATTGATCACATTTGATGATGACTGGTGATCACAGAGAGCTCAACAGATCTTTTAATCCCGGTTGCTTTGCAAACGTCCAGTCTTGTGGGTATGATTATAAGCATTAATACACGCCTGTCAATCAATTAGGTGGGCGGGGAAACTGCACTCCTACGTCACATTGCGGTGGGCCTGAAAATGGGAGTGATTTGGATCCTATTTAAATGCCAGGAATTTATTAAAAAAAGAATTATTACAAAACATTAAGGCCCTGAAAATCTTGCAACAATCCATCAACATCATAGAAACTTGAAAAACGTTTTAACCAATGGTCCATCCAACCACACAGCAACATGCTAGAAAACACTTGGCACCAAAATAACAATGCCCTGAAAACCACCCACACTGCCCTGGTGTTCCGGCGGTGAGCAAACACACACACTGTCTTCAGAATGAGCAACAACTAACACACAAAGTTTGACTTGGAAACACACCGAAAGCTTAATGAATGAGACGTCTGACAGGAAACTGCAGCGCATCTGAGTGCTGTTCATGCAGATGTGTGTGTGTGTGTGTGTGTGTGTGTGTGTGTGTGTGTGGGCAGTAGAGACAGCTGTTGGTTGTAATGAGTGGCGTACAGTGCAGTGTGTGTGTGTTGATTGAGTCCCGCATGAGAGACAGAGAGAGGCTGTTGTGCTGTCAGTGGGAGTGAATGCTCTGCTGCTCTGGGACTGTAAGATGAATGAGCTCTGCGCTTCTCCTGGCAGGAGCTGAAGACCTCCTAAAGACCAGACACACACACACACACTTGCACACCTTCACACCGCCTGCGTTTATGTTCATTCATGCTGAGCACATACAGTAGTGCATACATGAGTCATGCTGGACTACACTCACTCACTCCCTCACGCACTTGCTTACTTGTTTATTCACTTGCTCACTCACTCACTCACTCACTTGCTCAGTCACTTACTCGATCACTCACTCCTTACTCGCTCATGCACTCGCTTGCTAACTTACTCTCTCCCTTACTCGCTCATTCACTTCACTTACTCATTCACTCTCTTAAGCCGTGGCCACACTGCACTTTTCGCCCCATAGACTTCTATTCATATGCAGGTGAATGCAACAGACCGGAAGCACAAGCTTGTGTGATAGGTTTTGCATGTTTCTGCATTACAAAGTTCAAGCTCAATAACATAATATCTCTCAATAGAAATTGA